CACTAGATGTTTAGACTTTTTAAAAAATGGATGCCAGCAGTTGAAGCAGTAGCTATAATCTGCCTGTGGTATTAAGGCTACAAGGAAGCAGTTGGAATTCAATTCCTCTTATTTATGAGAGCATTGTAAGCAGGAAATAGAGCTGAGTTGTCCTGTAAAACAGGTGTGAAAGGAAGAGGTGAATGTGTGAGACTTCAGCACTTAATTTTCATTGTTCCGTATATATCTGTGATAATGTTTTAAGTTATTTTCCAGGGTAATACAAAGTCTGTAAGACTTCTTACTGAAAGTCAACAAAAGCACTTTTTTTTATGTGTTTCTTGAAATGATAAAAAGTTCTGGTTTCGTTTGTTACTACAAGAAGCTACATCTGAACAACTCCAGTTTAAAACAGCTACAAGTTATGTTTAAATAGGGTAATTCAGCTTCTGTGGATTCTCTCAAGACGGAAGAGCATATCAAGAAAATAATGCTTTCAGATCTCCAAACTCTACAGATCAAAAAAGCTATGGAAGTGCAGGTACCTCTATTTTGGAAGAATCCTACAATGCTTTGTTAGGTTGCATTTGAAGCTTTGCTGAGCACATATTGCTGCGTGTTGCCTCAACTGTTTGTCTCATTTTGCCCACATGTAAAATTCCTTTATTTTTATAAAGATGAGTAAATACAAGCAGGGGTGGGGGGGGTGGGGAGTAAATGAGGAAGATTATTTCTGTGAAGGTGAACATCACTGAGTTTGTTCCTTGCAGTTAATTAATGCTATATTCAAAAGAAAAGAACAAAACTGTGTATAGGGTGAAATGCGTTTATTGCAATGAACACTGGTCCTAAATAATATACTGTAGGTTGTTTTTGCATAATTATCATCTGCTATGGCTTTTGTCTTTAGGGTACAGTAACAGAGTTCAAAAGTCCAAGTGAATTTTACATACAGATGAGTTCTCCAGAAGTTTTAGACCGGATCTGTAAGCTTTCTGTGAAACTGCGAGAGTGTTACTCTGAGGCAGTGACTGGAGAGCAATACATGGCTATCAAAGGGGAAGTCTGCGTTGCAAGGTTTTCTTTGGATCAGGTAACGCCTGACTGGTTATTTTATGAACATTCAGTGTTGAGCTCCTCATGTTTTGCTTTTATGTCTCTACCAGTGAAGGCAGCTAATTAAAGATCAGTTTATTGTGGTGGAATTGTAACTAGCTTTGTAACACCTGGCTCTTAAATTTAAGGTACCGATTCCCTGCCCCCCCAGTTTACTTCTGTGTGTTTGTGTACTTGAGCCCTGTAGGCACTGTTTGTCCTACTGTTGCTTGAAGGCTGTAAGGCTGTGTGTGTTTTTAGCAGATTTAAATTACTGTAGTTAGAACAGTTTGAATATGACGCTGCTTAATTAAGGAAGTTATTCTTACTTCATTTCTTACCTGACTTTTCTAGTTGCATTTCTATAGCCACATCTAGTTCCTGTTTCCCTTCCTACCCCTTTTATGTATTATTTCCCATTTTTTCTCTTCCGTGGTTAGCAGATTTTTGATTTTCTGTATGGTAGCCAATATCCATTGGGGTAAAATTTTATCTTTACAGCATCAACACTGCAGTGAGTAGTGTTCACTTGAGTCACTTCGGAATTGGTCGGTGCCTTTGTTGATACCTGATGAAGTAAAGCAAAATAAGTTGTGTTCTTATTAAGGTTTTCATTTATTCCTGCACAGACCTGGAATAGAGCACTGGTAAAAGATGTGAATATATTGGAAAAGAAAGCACAAGTATTCTATATAGATTATGGAAATGAAGAAAATATTTCACTCTCCTGGATTAAAGCTCTGCACAAAGATGTTGAACTCTTGTTTCCTCCATGTGTGAGTATTTTCCTAACAGTAGCTGAGGTATTTTAAAGGAATAGCTCTGAAATGAGTGTCACTTGTGTCTCAGCGTAACTGTCATTATCACAATATTTTGTGTTCAGTGAAAGTGATGCATAAGAACTGCTATACTAAACAAAGTTCACCTTCTGAAATGTTCCCTAGCTATTCCATAGGAGTGAGGAAGGCCACCTGGCTTTTTTCTTCCTAGTCCCAGAGTTCTTGGGTTCTGAGCCGATAAAAAACCCCGCAGGGCAGTTAGGTCTGCATGTGCCTTATACGCTAGAGGGCAGCAGGGGAACCATTCTGGCTGCGTATTCTGATCTGGTCTCATGCAGTAGGGAAAAATCGCTCGTAGTTTTGGGCAGCCTTTGGAGTAAAGACAGCTGTTGCTCTGAGTTCATTGCCATATTCCATTACAAAATAGATGGCCTAGCTTTAATCTGTGGGTTAAACTAGTCTGTTTTAACTATGCACAAAGAATAGAGAAACATTCTTTTAACCAGTGACAACTATGACTAGCTGCTATGGGAATACTCTTTCATGTTCATGTGACTTTCTGTTGGGTCCATGAAAGGTTTTGAGAGCTGTTTGAATCCTGGCTCAGAGCCCTCAGTGTCTGCTGAGGGCAAGTTAGGACATGCACCTGTGGTGGGGTGGGATGTGTGATACAACCATGCCTTACATGAGGCAGCATCAATAGTGGGAGAATCGGAGGAAATGCAGTTTACAGTTTGAACTTAATTTCCTAATCCTTAACTCTTGTGAAGAAGTTAGTTGAATTGATAGTGCTTCAAATTCCAACAGCAGCTTTAACTTTTATATGCACGATGATATTTCTGAGGGCCTTAATTACTTAGTCACTTTGTATACAGGGCATACTCTTCCCTATACCCTCTTGTTCTAATTGTAATTCTTTCCAGGCCATTAAGTGTTCCTTTGCTAACTACAATCCAGAAGAAAAAGGCTGGAATGAAGGCATGGCCAGCTTGTCTTCCCGACTCATGGGAAAGCACTGTTCAGTAACTGTTGTTGACGTATTACAGGAGGAAGTGATGTTGAGTTTTGCTGTAGATGTTGTTCTTCCAGGTGTTGGTAAGTACTTGGTAGTTTGGGGGGAAAAAAACAACACAACTGATAAGTCTTTCACATTCATTTTCCCTCTCCCTACCCCTGCCCAATACCTTTAAGAGAAGAGTTTTTTTCTTTTGCCCTCCTCCCTCTTGTCACTCTCCCAACCTGCCCCTTTATTTTTTAAATTTTCTTTTATTTCACCTCTCCATATAGAGGTCATTTTAAATGACTGTACCTGAAATACCTTGTTACACTTAACCTTAAATTTTAGTAAGGTTACTTTTCCAGTGGACTTGTAGTAAGTTCAGTGTTTTCTGGATTATCTTCTTGTGGTTTGTTTGTTTGTTTTAATAGATACATACAAATTTGGGACCATGTTGTTGCTTTTATCTTATGCATTTTTAAATCTTTTAAAAATTCCGAGTTCCACTAAGGATTTTACCAGCTTTTGTTATGTTTGTACATGCTCACTTAAAGTATACCAAAGAAAGGGCAACCACTGGATATTGTCATATCTAGTTGGAGAGCTCTAAGGATGTTTATATTTCTAACTTAGCAAGCCTCTGTGGATAGACAAGCAGAGCATCTGACCTCTGAGGAGTCTGAATTCAGATTTTCAGTTGAGCTGGAGGGGTGGGTTTGGGTATGAAACCAGGTCTGTACACAGAAGGTGTGCTGTTGTCATTTGGAGCACTGTCTGTTTGTAGTATTTTCTGGCTGCAGAGCAAGAACAATACAGTGCAAAGAGCCTATTATTGTCATTGATATGCAGCCCGCAGAAACTTTGAAGGAAGTGATGGTTGATCTCTTAGCTTGCTAAAATTCCTGATGTGCAGGGAGTTTATCTCCATGTCACAGTCCCTGCAGCCTATAGAACAATGGTTCACCTTAGTCCTGTGTAAGTTCAACTGATTCAGGGTTGTGCTGGGCATATTTCACACTTGGTTGCTTTACAGCACATTAATGGCAAAGCAGTATAACTTGCTAACCTCTTGAAGAGAAAATGACAAAAATCTCACTGCATTCATGAAATGTTGCTTGCATCTATTCCATGACCTTACAAGCAACTTAAACATCTTGAAAATGATTATATTGAAGGCTTGGAGTACAGCTTTCATGCATTGGAAATGGAATACATAATAGCTAAGAAACCCAACATCTCTTTATAAATGTTGGTAACCCATTGCATACTCAGTGTTGTAAATGTGGAGCTAAGTTGTGAATCCTTGTGTGAAAAGCTGTAATCAGTTTTTCAGCCAACAGTCTTTAGTGGTTACAAGTAAACGTTGATTGTTACTGCTCATTTTATTTACTCAAAACAGTCTGTGAATGTCTTCAGAAAATTCAAGTAGTTGAGTTACTGTGAAACTACTTTTATTTTACATTCTAAGCCTATGAAGAGCTCAACAAATAAGTAGAACATGCTCACCTTATGATAGGCATATCGGTCAGGCTCAGAAGATGGTTCTGAAATAAAACTAAATGATGACTGTCTTGTACGGTAAAATACTGTGTTTCTTACATCCGTATTTTAGGAGACTGCCTAGGTAAAGTGCCTTTAGAAATGAGGTCTGATTTAACTCCAGGAAGTAATGCTAAAGGAGAAGACTCTCCAAGAGGTAAGACAGCAAATCAAACTTAGCAAGAGACAAAAAAAACTCGGGGAATTTTAAGTCCTCCCATGTCACGTGACTGTAGTGAATATTCTAGCTGTTCACTAGCATTGCCTACTACTTAAAAACATTGGCTAGTGGAGCATCCTTCAGTTCACTAGTGACAGTAACACATGTGCTTTTTAATAGAATAAAGTACTTGTTTAGTGATGTTTATGTGAGTGTTAATTTCATGGATAATATGACAGAAGCCTTCAAAGTCCAAAGAGTCAGCAAAAAGAGTAAACTGCTTCAGTGTTTAAATTTTATAGTTCAATTTAGCACAGCTTGTAAGCCTTTGGATCCTGGCTGGTGAGGTTGTGCATTTCAAAGTCATCTAGCTTTTGATTAGTAACTTTTTTTTTTATTGTACAGTGTCAGAAAACCATTCTAAGGCAAGTAAAGAGAAAATACCTGAAGATGAAGAATTTCTTCACTGTGCTAATTCAGTTGCAGGGTGTGTCTCCGTACGTATTGGAGATGCATTTTCTGGTGTGGTTTCCTTCATTCAAAATCCAGGAGAATTTTTCTGTCAGCAGATGTGCAGTGCCTGTAAGTGACGCGTTGAAAACGGGATGGAAGATACCTAATGTGGCATTTTTCTCTTCAGTAGAGAGTGGCTGGAGGGAGGTGTTGTGGTCTTGTAGTTTGACCTGAAATGGTGATTCCATGTAGCTGTTCGGGCATGCCTCAGTCAGTTAAGAGCCATGATATTGTAGAGGATGTTTGTGGCAGCATTAGCTGTTAATATCACTTACTATCCTGTAAGGTGATAGTTTGCGGGCAGCCTGAGTAGAGCACAGGAGAAAGATGGTGTGGCATGGATTTTAGCTATCTGCAGTCAATTTTCACATGTTCCAGAAATGTGTGTGAGTTCCTCTTCACTTTGTTTATTCCTATGATGCCTTGTTGCTTTACTCCTGGAGGGAAGTGTTTCCTTGCAGGCTGGGTGTGTGGACTGAACTTCTTTGACATAGCGTGGCAAGAATATCTGAGTACGAGACGACCAGATAATAGCGCGCAAACCCTGCTTTGGCATCTTCTGATACAGTAAAACACAGGACCATAACTAACACTATAGGGGGCCAGTGCTAGGCTGCAGGGACTTTTGGTGCATCTCCCACAGATGTCTGGGGAGAATAAGAGCAGAGTAAGTTGGTGGGTTGTGTCCTCCTAGTAGTGTCTGAGCCAGTGGTTTGTTTTTTTCAATGAAAAGGGCTTTTGCAGCTGGATGTGATGGATGTGATCTGGTGTACCTCCTACAGTGGAGTTCTCTTCTGTGTACTTGTGTAGCCTTTGAACTCTGGGTGGACTCATAGCTTAGCGTGTCCTTCAGCAAGAAGTGACACTCATCATCTGCCTGTTGTTTGAAGAGCTGTCTTCCTTGGTTTCTTTCTAGCATGCCTCCACTAGCTTGGTTTCCATTCCTACAGGCTTCACGTCTGTTCCTGTGTTGAAAAAGTCTGTGGCTGGTTTTCTCTGTCTGTTCTCTTCACCACTGTGATTCCTCAGACTCGTGTAAGGACTCTCTTCAGTCTTACTGACTGAAAAGTCCTAGTCTGATCACTGGTTTTGGTGGTATAGTAAACATTATGTGGCATAATCTCTGTTAATACAGTATGTTCTTCCAAGCTTTGAACTTAAAATTTGTGTACTTTTGTAATAATTACAAGACAGTGTATGTTCCAAAACCTATGTTTTTTTAACATCAGGTCAACTTGCTGAGCTTCAAGTGTCTCTTAATGAACATTGTGACAAACTTCCTGGTAGCCCAGCTTTCCATCCTGCTGCTGGAAATGTGTGCTGTGCCCAGTTCACAGGTAAAAATGGAGTGAAAATATGGCTCTTAATTTATGTCTCTTTATGGCAAAAAATAAACACCTTTTTATAATTTTATTTGTGTCAGGTTTTAGCTGTGGATAGCATTTGGTAGTGATTTTTAAAAAATTATTAATAGCAAATGATGACATCTATGAAATACTAGTTTAAAAAGAGACCATAAAATGGTCCCTTCCTTGAGCAAACTCTTTAACACTGGGTTAATTTTTGTATAAAGGAGCTTTTTGAGAGACCATGAAGAAATTTGGGGTTTTTCTGAGTTGGTGAGCACTATTTTCTGTGGTTGGAAGTAAATATAGACCTTGAAATTTTAGACCCCAAAAGAGGGACAGAAGAAATGGGATTATATATAAATGATGCTGCTCTGATAGACTCCTTCTCAAAATGTTACTTAGCCAAGACATGGTATTCCTTGCATTGTACGTTCATAACTTAGTTTCCACCTGACAGTTTTCACTGTTATCAAGTTTCTACAAGTCTCATGGCAAGATTCAATTTTGTCTAAACATAAGCTAGTGTTCTGCATAAGGCAGTGTTTTGTGCTAGGGATTGGTAGGCCTACATGAGAGAAATACCTTCAATTTCTTAGAATCTGAAGTCCTGTTTGCCTGAGTGCTGTAGGCACTCTTTTCCTCACAGATCATTCTCCTTTTCATCCAACTCTTAATAAGAAAAAAACCCTCCACACGTCTCTGTTTTTATGCCTTTTTTTCTGGTCAGAAATGTTGCTGCTCTGACTTCTTTCTGTGATTGATAAACATTCCTGGTCATTTATTTCTTTCCATTTCCTGGGGTTTTGCTGCTTTGAATAAGTTAGCTGTGGGACTGAACAGATAAGCTGAAATATAAGCTTTTTTGCATGTTCAGAAAGAGCTAGTACTGCCAATAAGCTGCCTTGGCGTTTGAATGGGCAGTGGTTTCAGGTGCCTAGCTAGGGTAAGCTGCCACTTCAGCACCTCAGATGTCTTTATAAGCTTGAGTAAGCTTGTATTCTATTTCTCAAATATTTTAATTGAATTAAAATATGATTTTAGATCTGTTGTGTGGCCTTTGAATTGCATGTCATTGTGGTCAACTGTTTAAATGTACGAGCATGCAGTGCTAACGTTCAATAACGTAGCCAATTCTTTGTTGCCAATGTATTGGCAGGGCAGGGGGGTTCTTTACAGAAAGAATGAGTTTGCAACACTCGGCTCATACAAGGGGTGATGGTGGTAGATGTTGCATCCGTGAAGGTTTGTGTGAGCTGTAATGCTCTGGTTTATGTTGAGATTGACGTATTTTTATATTGGTCTGCCTGAAAAATCATTCTGTTCTCAGAAGTTAAAAGCAAGTACAATGAACTTCTGTATCTTCCTTTCTAGAAGACAATCTTTGGTATCGTGCTGCTGTTGTAACATATGTTTCTGAGGATACCACTTTGGTGGGCTATATAGATTATGGTAATTTCGAAGTTCTTCCGCTGACTAGACTTCGCCCTATGATTCCAAGATTAACAGACCTACCAGCTCAAGCCATAAGATGTACCTTGGCAGGTATGAAATAAATAAGCTGTTTCAAACGGGAGAGAGGCGAAGTAAGTGGGGTTAGATAACGATCACGCCTGCAGTATCTTACACTGAAATATGGGGAAGGATGGAGATAACAGTAGGTGTTATTTCCAGAATTCTTTTAATTGTTGTGACATTTACAAAACATGACCCCCTTCCCTGGGGCATATCTAGTGAAACTACTGGTAGACTCCTCTCTAGGTTTGTGGAATCTGTCAAGTTGGAAAGGATGTTGATGCTTCCTAGTTCATCCTTCTGTGTCAAGCCAAGATCATAATCTATTTTTTTTACATACTTGTTGGAAATTGTTTATTTTCTCTGTTTGTTCCCATCACTATGTAAGATAGTCCACGGCTTTGCTTCAGTACCCATCCTTTAGAATACTTGATGTCTATCCTTCTTTTACAATATGTGTTAATTTAACCTGATTTTCAAAATTTTGATAAAGTTCAGAGGAACATTCTAGCTTCTTAGTTTGGAGGAAAACATGAAACAATCCCTTGTATGTAGAGATGGAACTGATGCATATCGAATGTGACCTAAAGAAATCTCTTTTCTGGGGCAAATATAGCTGATACTGAGTGTTCTAAGACTAAGAAAGAACGTGGACAGAAAAAAGTGATCAGATAGGATGTTTACTGATTAGAGTCAAGGATTACTACTGCATAAAATATCTTTCTGGAAGGCAACTTCTGTTAATCTGTTACTATAAAGTTCTGGTTATAACTTGCATTTTAGAAATAAGTTTTGTAGCATAAAGAGTAAACATTTAAGGAGGAAGAAGCTTATAGTAGCAGATATATTGGTTGAGAGATGGTTAATGTTGTTCAAAACAGTAAGTTGTATTCATGAGACCCAAAGACTGACACTTTTATAGACATTCATACTAAGGAAGTATTACATCTGAATTTGTTTCTCTTTGTGCAATAGACTAGTTGTAAATGAACTTTGTCAGATTTTTATTAAATCCAAGTACTGCAAAAGTTCAGAATCTAAATAATTGGAATCTTGTTACGAGCATGAGGAGTGAGAGTGAGTGACTCTGTATCTGCTGCTTAATCTGTTTTAAATAGTGTCGTTGTACCTTTCCACATATTGTTGAGACTTGAACTGTCCTCAGAACCTTTCTGTACTGTGTGACTTTTTAGGTGTAAAGCCACCATTAGGAGCCTGGACCTCAAAAGCTGTTTCTTTTATGAACCAACTGGTGAAAGACAAAGTGTTCACAGTGAAAGTAGTGGATAAAGAGAGTTATAGATCTGTGGTGGAGCTTGTAGATGCATCAGTTACTCCAGTAATAAATATATCAAGCTATTTAATAGAGAAGGGCTATGCAGCTGAGGAATCGAGGATGGCCTTACCAGCAACCGGAGTGAGTGATGTTCAAGCAAATGGTGAGTATGAGCACAGCTTGCTGAACTGGCATTATTTAACCTCCTACTAGAGGGTACAAAGAATGCAAGTTCGTAGCTGGTAAGAACTTTCCAGTCTGGCTCATGAAGTGTAGCCTTCACAGCTGTGAGCTTCAGCCATGGCCACTTTGCCATGAAGAAACTGTGTGTTTGGTTGTGTGTCCTTAATGTGTGTGTGTGTGTATATATATGTATGTATTTATGTATGCATACATTACAAAGTTGTGGTTGCTCACTTTGGGAAGATCATACTAGTATTTCACTTTCTCTGGTTAGCAGTCTTACGATTTCCAGTTGAAGCAGGCTGTGATTGGTTAGTACCTGCTTGTTCTTACACCCTTGTCCTTTAGCTCAAATATCATTTAATCTTAATTGTCTTGTATTTCACACCTAAACCCACATATTTAGTTGTTGAACGTTTGTTTGACTGCAGTAACCTACACACCTTCAAGGCTATGCCTAAATTGCCTTTTTGACATTTAGTGACCAAAGCTTCAGTTTGGGAGATTTTAAAGTTTTATGTCAAATTTCTTTGTATTGTAGGAAGATTCCTAGCTTGTCTCGTATGAAGCACATTAAGCTCCTGTTTTCCATCCCATGGCTGGTAAAACTATGTATCTTCTCCTGATCCATCTGTACTGAAAACTGGGGGAAGTCTTTTTGTCAAGGCTATATCCAAATCCCTTAATTTTGATCTTCCTCACTAGATGCTTTGTAGCCTGGGCATGGTTTTTCCTTATCTTTGTTCAGAAGGGTAAGGAATCTTCTGAATCTTGTACAAAATTTAAATGAACAGTAGCTGTCGTGGTTATATCCAAACACATTTTGATCTATGGCCATCATCCTGGGCCTGTTTTGTACTTCACAGGTTTCTTGGTTACTTTTCAGCTTTTTTTAAATCTTGCATTGAGTGTGGGCTTTTGAACGCAGGTTCTAAACAGATTATCAACTTCTGATTTTTGACAGAGGGGTGTGTGTGTTTTGTGCTGCTTTGTGGGTTTTTTTTTTTTCTTTGCCGCTTGGCCATATGACTTCCTAAAGTCATCTACCGTCAGACACAATCCTGGGCAGATGGAGCAGCATCTCAGCATAGCCATCCTTGAAGCTCAAAACTTTCTTGAGCTTCATTTTCAGAAAAAAAGCCCTAAACACTTAAAATGGGAAAGGTCTAGCAATGTTGGAGACCAGCTGCTTGGACTCGGGTCTTAAAAAGGCCGATGGTATTTTTGCATGCTGCTGCCTACCACAAGCTGTAACAAGCTTAACAGCTGTGAAAAATACAGGAAGATTTAATAATATGCTAATGGAGGAAAATGATGGCTTCTCCAATGTGCCATAATTTTAGCTTTCACATGGTCTATTCTACAACGTGTTTTAAATAACAAGCTTTTTTCAGGTACTCGAGTATAATAAACGGTGCAAATTTCTGCAGCCAGCCTTTCTACTAATCTTTGTTCTTTCTCTTCCTCAGACTATTTCCAGTTCTCTCGGTGAGAGCTGTTTCCCTCTTCTATGCCCACTGTCCTGTTTCCCAGGAACCAAGGTTCCCCAGAGTCCCTCTTGCTCAAGTTTTTGCCACCTAGTCTGTACCTCTGTGTGTGATTACTCTTCCCCCTTCACCTATGGCTTGCACTTCTCAGTAGTGATCAAATACATTAAGCAACTGGCACATTTCTCTTACTGGCTTTTATTCTGCGAAGAGGTTCTCACTGGTAATTAGTGTGTTGGATTATTTATAATAAGTAATTTGAGGACATGAATGAATGCTCAGGCTGTATAATTTTTTTTCCAGTAAAAATTATTTTAATTTATCTTCCTTCCTCTACTTCTCTTTTTGTCCTCTCTAGAGGACACGAGGAACAAAAGAATTTGCAAGTGGAGTAAATTAACCATTAAACAAACAGTAGATGTCGTAGTGTGTACGCTATACAGTCCTGGAGAATTCTACTGTCAGATTTCAAATAACGATGGTAAGTTTATTCAGCTTGTTTCTTTGCTTCCTGATTTGTCTTGTATTACAGTTCTAATGCATTACTGTTTCAAGTGAGTTTATAGCACCAAGGCTTGCCTCTGAGTTTTTTAATCTAAGAATACAAGTGGAATGATGAAGAAATTGGATCATTGTATGTAGTGACTCTGAGGTTGAAATCTGAAAATGTTGAAGGTAAGGAGTTGAATAAAACTTAATCTAAGAATGTAGAGAAAAGTCAAAGAGCTACTATAACTTAGGCAAAGGGTATGTAAAAAGACGGCAAATAAGAGACAAGCTCCTGTGGCCATAATATATTTACTGGGGCTTTCCTGTAGTACTCTATCCTGTTCCAATTTATAAAAACTTAAAGATTCAAAAGATAAAATAAAATGAAAATGAGGAAACACAGCTTTTGAGACTTGCTTCCTCTTGGATAAGCTAAAAAAAAAAATTTTTGTTCCTCTATTTGCCTATATAAAGACTTCTGATAGCTGCTGGCTTTTTAACCTACTAGAAAAAGAGCATGATGAAATTCTTTGGCTGGAAGTGGAAGCTGAATGCAGTCAAACCAAAAATACAGGGCAGATCTTAAAAAGTGAGGGAAGTTTATTCCTTGGCTTAGGTAGGAATAGTACAGGTTCTTTTAAAGGTGGCTTACCACCTTTAAAACATGACTGAATTCCTCCCTAAAAGTGGTGTTGTAGAGCAGGCTAACGGACTTGATATAAAAAATAAATAAACAAGAAGGGTGAGATCCCATCATCTGCCATAGGCATGGGCTGAACTAGGTAATTCCCATGGTGTCATTTTGTTCTCTGAACTAATTTGTCAGTAAATATCAGTTATCTTGCCTCTTCCTGCTAAGTCTAGTAAGTTAAATAGTTAACTCGGTGTCAAGGGTTGTGTTTTTTATGAAATTTTAAAATTCACAAACATTTTCCATCAAATCCTTTTAAGTAAGCTATACAGCGAACAGTATTGATTCAAGTCAGCTTATTTTCATTGATGTAGTCTTTGTTTTTTTTTCTTTCTCACTTTCAGAGTTAGTTGCTCTAAACTTACTTAACAAATCATTGTCTGCATACTGTCAGAAAACTCCACCAAATGTTTTTAAGCCTGAGAGTGGAGAACCTTGCTGTGCTTTTTTCTCAGGTAAGTAACAGACTAAAATATTTTTTTTCACAGGGTGAACATAAAATAAAAAAAAAAAGCTGATATTTTGCATTGGCAGAGGATAGCAAAGAATTTGATTTATTTACTAAAAATAAATGCTGGCAATCTTACTAAATGTGTGTAACTTTTTTTATTTTAAATTAGGTGATGGTAACTGGTACCGTGCTTTGGTACAAAATATTACTTCACATGGAAGTGTTAAAGTATGCTTTGTGGACTATGGAAATGTTGAGGAAGTGCCACTGGATAAAATACGGCAGATCTCATCCTCATTCCTAGAACTTCCGTTTCAAGGAATTAAATGCTGGCTCTCAGGTGGCTCTTCTTACGGATTCTTTCTCCTTTTAAGAGCTATTGTATTTAGAGGCAGAAGGAGGTGATGACAGGGTATACTTCACAGAACTCTGTTTTATGGGAGTGTTTTGGGGTTGGTTTTGGTTGGTTTGGTTTTTTTATAATAAATGTCTGTGGTCCTTCCAGCCTCTGGAAATTGTGGGAGCCGTTGTTTTAGTCTTACTGCACAGCAGACTGGCATGTAACAGAAAGATGGTGGCTCTTTCCTGAGCTCCTGACAGTGCCGTGGAGTGATGTGCATGGAGGTTACTTACTGATTCACCAGTCAAAGGGAACTTGTCTAGTTCTGCTGCTTACTGGCTTTTGGTGGCTGCCTTGCTAGGAGTCAATGTGCTTTTGGGCAACTTAATTATTTCTCAAAATTTTTGCAGGCAAAGGAGCTCATCTGTTTTTATGAAGCAAGTTGGCCTTTCAGTTCTCTGTAGGGATGTTTCATTTGATTCCTGCAGAATTTGGCACCGCACTGCTGTTGTCTTCTACCAATTCTCTGCCTCTTCCTTTCCACCAAATCAGTCCAAAATTCTAAAGAGTTATTCCTTCTTTCTAATGTAGTCTACTTGGTTTAAAAATGAAAATAAAAAATGTGGAAACAGGAAAAAGCTCAAAATCACATTTCGTCAAGGTGTCTTCTGCTGGTTTTTGTCTCTTAAAACTTTGGTTTTCTGCTCCTTTGATAAAAAGGCTATGTTAAACTCATTCATAGGCCGTCTTGTTTGTGCTAAGGCACAGGGATTTCCATGGTACAGTATCATATGATGTAGAAAACATTACTTGGGAGTGCTGAGGAAATGCATTATTTTACAAGAAAGGAGGAAGAGGGAGACCAGTTAACAGGATGAAGTACAATGTTGATCCCTAAGGCAGTAAAAGTATCCTTGGTATTTTGAGTTGTCCTTTTTTTAAAAAAAAAATAAAAAAGGGAGGGGTGGGATTTTTTTTTAAGGAAAATATAATGTTGAACTAAGTCACTTGATGGAGGTATTCTGAACAGTTCTCCTACTTCCTAGGTATAAAACCTGGTAATAACAAATGGATTCCAGAAGCTACAGCAAGATTTCATATGTACACTGCAGGGATAAAGCTTCAAGCTAGAGTAACTTCCTTTTCCAGAGATGGGGCAGGTGTAGAGCTTATTGACAATTCCACAGGTCATCCAAAAGTGATCAATGAGATATTAACTTCTGAAAAATTGGCTGTAAAGGAAGTTGCACATGATAAGGATAACTTTCCAAACGAGTCTGTTGACAAAAAAGGTAATTCAATGAATGTTAACTTTTAGATTGAACAAGAAGTTTCAGTATTCCAGCCTTTGACTGGGATCTTGCTACTTAACCATAGTTAATGTCAATAATAAACCCGCATAGTCTTGATAGTATTGTCAGTTTTTACAGTTAAAACACAAGCTGCCCTGCAGGTGGCATTATAGACAGAAAGATAAAAATTTCCGGGTTTGTCTTAAATGAATGCTATTTGAATATTTGATAGTAGACAATTACAAATTCGCTACGACTGAAACTTTTCCTGTGTTTATTTTCTAATATCTTATTTTTCTGAGGTCTTTTTTACTTTAGCTACTTTGATATGCTAATAGCTTATGAACAGCAAATTAAGCAAAAATTATCTTGGTTTAGATTTCTGTTCTTGAAGTGAAGACATGCAGTTGTCTCTAAAATTCAAAAAGGTATTCTGTAACAGTTACTGATCATGCGTATGTACTTGGAGGAAAGTGGTACACTGCATTTTCTTACTGTATCTATTAGAAACCTCACTTGGGCACTGGAAGCCGATTGAATTGGCTATAGATGAAACTGTACCTGTCTGTGTAACAGAAGTTGTAAGCCCAGACTTGTTCTACGCTGTACCAGTTCAAATTAAAGGTAAGAAAAAGTGTTCACGGTTCCTAATATCAGGAAGAAGTCACTGTTAGAAGCTAGTTAATACAATGAGTGCCTCTAGCAAACTGAACTGTGTGGAGATGTAGCTTGGACAGTAGAAAAATATAAAAAATGCTAAAGATGGGAGCGGAGGAGTGTAAAAGGAAGCATGCTCTTCATTACACCCAAATGTGGTTAGTTATCGAATGTGTTTTTCTATAGATCAAGCAAAGCTACACAGGCAGATGACTGAACTAGATGGCTACTGCAAATCTTGTAAGAACCAGCCCTTCGAACCAAAACTGGGTGAAGCCTGTTGTGCCAAGTTTTCAGGTGAGGAAATTGTTTGTTCTTACATTTCCTTGACCAGTGTAAAACACAACTTCCATTTTTGCTTTAGAAAAAGGAAGGCCTTTAAAATGCTTACAGATCTCTTGGTTCTGTTAGAGGATAGCCTGGCTGCATCTTTAGGGCAAAGAAACCGTCTGATAGTCTGGGAGAGAAAATAAGGAGTAGGTTGTACCCTGCAAAATGGATGGAGCTTTAAGAGGAAAGACAGCTAGTTACTGTTTAAAATTAAATTTGTTTGTGTTTGAATCACAGGGGCATGAGGTTGATGGCAGAGCAATAGTGCACAGGCATCTATACAGACCCGCTCCTGGTTTGTGGGTGCCTGGGTGGTTTTTTGTTGTTGCTTTGTGTGACTGGCTATGACAACTGACAACTAACAGCCTTGTTAGCCTAACAAGCCGGCCAGGCTTTGCAAAGTGTGAGTTAAAGTCAAAAGTACTCTTAACAGTGAGGGAATTTCAGTTATTGTCTTCATCTTTCAGAAGAGGGGATCCTCTGATATATTAGTTTAGTGTTTTGTTGTGTTTGTTTGTTTTAAAAAAAGGTAGTGTTGACTCAAATGTTGACTGCCTGTGGATTGTTACAGGAGATCTGGCCTAACGCTGAACATGAACTTGGGTGCTAGATCAGGTAACGGCTCGTGGAAAACAGGATAGATGAAATGCAAATACTAGGCAGACCACAAGAGTATACTTAAGTGTTTGACAGTTGTGTTTAACTTCCACTGTTGTTGGGGTTTTGTTTGGGTTTTTTGTTGTTTATGGCTCTTCAGGGTAATTGAGGAAAAATTTTTTTTTCTTTTGATTTTAGTTATGAGAGGGAATATGCGTTGGAAAACAAATGTAAGGAGATAGAAATACAGTGTGCAGACATCCTTAAAACTGTATTGTAGTAAAAATCTTATCTGTATCATTTGAGCAATATTCTGAAAGCAACACATATTTGTGAATACAGCAACGGGAAACAGTTCCTTTGTGTGGGCTTCCTTCTTGTCAAGTGGCCTTTTGTATATACCAGAGTATTTAAAAATTCCTGGAAAACTACACAGATTCTTGTTCTTGGCATAAGCTGTGTTTACAAGATGGTGCGTCACATGTGATTCTTCTTGTCCCAATCTTTCCAGGTGATGGCTGTTGGTACAGAGCTCTTGTTCTAAAAGCTTCTCAGTCTGCAGTGACAGTACTGTATGCAGACTATGGGCACACAGAAACTTTACCACTTTCAAAGGTGCTGCCAATCACCGATTCCTACTTAAAGCTGCCTTTTCAGACAATTCTGTGTTCACTTGCAGGTAAAAAAACCCCCAAAACCAAAAAACCCCACCTCCAAAAAACCCTGACTGGTTTTCCTGAACGTGATAAATCTGTACCTGTTCTGACAGTAGTGTTCACTGCTTAGTACTGATCTGCTGAAATAGTATACTGGTTAATACTGTGAAAGCTGTTTTAGAAAGTATGTTTTTAGTTAATTATCTGTAGAATCTGACCTATTTATATTTTGAAAATTTAGCATCATATTTTCAGAAACAGTAGTAGCATTATGTGTAGGATTCAAGTCATATCATAAAGGAATTCTTTATAGAACAAACTTGATTGTACTTTTGGTTTTTTGCAGGTGTAGAAAAAGCCGAGTGGTCTCCATTATTACTTGACAAGTTGAAAGAAATGTTGCTGAATAAGAATGTCACAATTACAGTGAAAGGGATTAAAGGAAATGTTAATTTAGTAACAGTGGAGAAACTTTGTGAAAATGGTAGTCTGAATGTAGCTGACAAACTGATAATGGAAGGTTTGGTCAAATCCTGCAGTGCTGAAAACTTGCATATTGAACATCACGGTACATATTTTCACTTTTTTACTTCAAATTACTTACTTTGAGGAACCGTGGGCACGTGGGATGCCTAAGTGACTTTTCTTTCTAAAAATCTTAGAGGATTCCACCTGTCACCTCTTAAATTGGGGAAGCAGTGTCCATGTGTATCTTGCTCATTCACTTGCTTTGTTTTTTGTAGGTGGTGGAGGTGAGGCCAAATGCTGCTGCAGAGAATTAAAAATGCAAGTAAGATTCAGTCCAAGCAATACACACTTGTTTAAGTTTCCAGAATTTAAAAGAAATCATACGTGGGAAGGAAAATAGAGTAGGGAGATAACAGCTAACTGAAACATTGAGGATATGCAAAGTGAATATCCTGATGCTTTTTGTCAGTTTGTTTTATATGTGGTAATAGTTAGAGCACCCTGAAACTGAGGGAGGGGGGAGGGTAGTGTGTGGATCACAGACTTCACTGGTTTTGTGTTTTGCCACACATACAGCTTTTTTTTTTTCCCTAGAGTATGAAGGCTCAGGAGTGTTATGTTTGTCTGTGGTGTAAACTATTTGTGGTGTTTTGCATAAACTGTGTCACTTGGACAAAGGGCAGATGGATTTTTTTTCTGTAATATGGCTGTGTGTTGCTGTGGATACAACTTGGCAGACAGCCGCACATGTAAGAAAATCCTTACAATATGTATTTCAGGTAGCAGAGGTTAATTTTAGTATGTGCTGCAGTTTCAGTCATGGAGCTAGGGCTGAGAATCTGAGTTCAGGAGAATATTGGAATTTGTAACAGTGGTTGCCAGTTGCAAGATAATTTTTTTTTCCTTTTGAAAAAAAATGAAGTGAATCTTGCAGATATGGTGTATTCCTGTAATTATTGAAAGCTTTCTGGTTGTAAGCTTTCTGATTTTTTTTTATTATCACTTAGGCTATTTATGGAAAATTAGAACTTTAGATTACTAAAAGTAACTTAAACTATACCAGAAAAGATGAATCAGCCTTTCTCAAAGTGAGGATCTTTGTCAGAGGAATGAGCAGAATTTTGAATTTTAAAGGCAGAAACCCCTTTCAAGGGTGGTTTGACCTCCCCCCCACTCTACCCAGCCAGAGGCAGCAAGGGCAAAAGCAAAAATACACACTGTGATATTTTGGAGGTAGGAAAAGAGCATTTCTGCTCAAGGTCATTTAGACCTTTACAAAGAGCTTCAGAGCAAGCATGGTAACCAGCAGTTTAGTGGTGGAAAGGCAGTAAAACTGTGCTGTTCCTGAGTGTAGCTGATTTCTCTGTCCCACTGCAGGCTGGTGAACCTCCTTTTCCCTTCCCCCTCTGTATCGAGTTGATCTTCCAGCTGGTGTCTCTTCTGACTTCGGTTTGGTCACTGTCTGTTTTCTGTCATCCTTCCTTACTTGGATAAGTTTGGCTCAAAGTCTCATGATGGAGGAAGAGAAGACAAAAGATTCCAGTATAACTGAAAACATCGGGAAATAGACATGTGGGAATAACCAAATTTAAGATCCCAATCTCAGTCCTAATTTCAGTATTTTATCAATTCAGTTCAAGGAAGTTTCTTCTTCAGGGGGGAAAAAAAAAAGGTGGGGGGTGGTATAGGGGGAAGGCAGCTACAGTTCTGCTGGCTTTTCCCCCTCTAGAAGATTTTTATAGCTGAAAGGATCTGCATATTCATTGAACTAATACGGGACTTAACTGAGTTTGTGGTTTCAGGATCTACCCTAATCTGAAATCAGCAATTAAAAAAAATTTTTTAAAAAATACTGTATTTCCAATTTTTCTGCTTATTCCACAGCTTAAAAAGCATGAACAGATACTACACTTCATTGTAAACAAGTACACAAATCCGGATGGATTCGCTGAAATCAAAAAACTGTTGGACCACTAACTCTGACATGTGCAGTACCATTTGTACGTATATCAGGTTGCTGCTGTTCCCTTTTTGGAAGAGCAAATGTATTTATTCATCAGCTTAAAAATGAGTCACTTTGTAGAAATTCTGCTGTTTACGTACCTGTGTTTGTATGCTTGGATTGTTATTGTTAAATAAGTATGTAACTTGAGGATTTCAAAGCCAAAAGCTAAATTTTCTGTTCTGTTTTGGGTTTATACCAGCATTGCTGCTAAGCTTTTTTGCTTCTATTTTGCTGTTGAATGCACATAACTTCATGGAATGGCCGTTGCATTGAGAGTCTATTCTTCAAACTTGTATTTGAAATTACTGTAATCTTAAAGCTTGCTTACACTTTGTTACCATTAATTTTACTTGAAAAATTGTATCTTGTTTAGTCTTCTTCCAACTTTATTTCTGGTCTGAAGTTAGACTGAAAATTGTTCTTCATCAGCTTGGTTTCAGTATCATTAAAGACTGAATCTTGTCTTGGGCTGCGTGTAGGTGGTTCTCTAAAATCAGTAAACACTTAAGTGCACACAGTTCTTTATTTAGGCTTCGGCTGTGTAATATGCATCTCTGAATATTGTTTTGAGGTGAATTGAGAGGGGTATTTTGTCTGTAGCTACTTCTACCTCATCAATTTTTTTCACATGATAATGGAAAAGTCCCGTTCTGGGATATGACAAAAATACTGAATCACATTATTAATGGACTTCCAGTGTTTCTCTAAAATGTAGTTGATACCGAATTGTCCCTTCTGACCGCTCCAGTGGCAGTGTTACTAAGGAATGCCAAATTACTGTTCATAAAGCACTGTAGACATTTGGTTATTGAAACTGCGGGGTCAGCTGTTTTGTCCACTTGAAGTATGTAATTTACGTTCAGGCTTTGTGCAAATTAGAAGGATCTTGAGATTAAACTTGTTGTGAAAGTGAAATATTTTTCTTGGACTCAATGTTTTGTTCCACTTAAATTGCCTCAGATTTTTTTCCTGCCTCTTAGTTTTTGTTGCCTCCTGTTCTTGCAGTGTCTAACAATGAGACGAACTCTTGCACTTGGGTCTCTACAGTTCTTTTGGTGCCCCTGGTTCTGAGCAGAGACTGTGGCTGTCTCAAGTGTCCTTTGACTTCCTGGGACAAGTGTGACTTTCACAAGCATTTGCCCGCATGCAAAGCAACTCACTGATGCTTTGGTCCTCCCATGGCTTTTGTTGGCTTTTCCACATAGCACCTCTCCTAGCGGGTCGTCGTGGCATTTCGGAAGGTGACTTGGACGGCAGTAGTCAAAAGCAGCGTCGCTTTGTCTACACTTCATAAGCAGGAGGAAGGAAAAGTGAATCTTTGCTTGTTCTACTCAGGCAAAACCCCCTGGAAAGCAGTGGTTGGTGTTTTACTTGGAGGTGTACGTGTGGTGCAGCGCAAAGATACATGGCCGTAGTCCTTGTAGACAGTGGATGGAAAGAAGTTCCGTAGGGTTCAGAGACTTAGTTTGCTCCTTAATTTCAGATTAAATCTTTGGGAACATTGTTGGAGGGACAAATAAAGCAAGAAATGTGGGAACTTCTTGGACTTTTTCTGTTGTTCTTGCTTTGATTTTTCTCTGCTACTTTTAATCTATAATTGAAATCTGTTCTTGAAGAGGTAAGATATCAGCTGTGGATTATCTTTAAATGCTAATATAAAATCCAATTTCAAAGTAAACTTTTATGTGATACTATATGAAACATTTAAACTATAACATCCACACTCTTGGTAAATTTCTTAATTCCTCTCTGGAGAAGGAAAAAAGTGAACTGGAACTCTAAAATAAGAGTGCTTCTGAAAGGGAAGTAGCGTAAATTTAATAAAAACCACGTAGCACTGAAAAACAACATTCTTAAGAGATCATTTTCATTTACAAATCACTGTTGGAGGAACTAGAATATCCTTTGTTTACTGGATCTGACTGAAATGTTTTATTTATTTATTACTTAGCTGTACAACCTGTTGTTGCGCTCCATTCCTAACTCTACATACTGTAACTGAAATGTTTTATTTATTTATTACTTAGTACCTGCTGTTGCGCTCCATTCCTAACTCTACATACTGTGAGATGCAAAGGGGTGTTTTGTCTGTATATAATACAAAATCATGGATCTAGTTTTGTGTGGGAAGAGACGTGCAAGATATTCTGTGACTGAAAGTGCTCATCTTGTGCAGCGCCAGTACTGCCTGTGTCAGGTGCTGGTTAAACCCCTTGGGTTAAGGCGGTACAAGGCTTTGGAAAGTCAATGCTGTCCTGAGGCTTGGACGCTGGAGATCTTGCTGTCTGCTTTCAGACACTCACTGCAGTGGGTCTGACACCTTCTCCCTTCCTAAGTAGATCTTTCTGAAGGTACTTTTTTCTTTCCAAGAGCATTGCTCAGTCGCACGGTGTGTATTGCAGCTGGTGCTCTACCTCCAGAGAACCGCATTACTCTCTAAAAAGAAATTCAAGGGATCGATTTAGATTAGTTAGTGCTCTAATTACCTTAAATTTATCCATCGGGCAAGGGCTGAAAGTACAGTAACAGTGACCCTCTTCGTGTTTTGGAATGACAGGTTTTTAACAGCCGTGTTGTGGTGACCTTCCTGTGTAAAACAGAAACGTCCTCTCCAAAGCTGGACCATCCTCTAGTGCCACTGTATTTAAAATTAATTGCTCTGGTGTTGCTTTCTTCCTTGAATTTTATTGTGGGAGCTGCGTTTTGGTGGTGGGTGGGTGGTGGGGTGGAATCCAGCCCCGTTACATGCCCTTTCACTCTGAGTCAGACCTTTGCAGGACGGAGAACAGCTGAGCAAGTTCTGGGTGCTGCCCACCCGTGGCATGGCTCATCTCCTGTCCTTGTTCTTGCACTGCTCAGCTTTCAGGGGTAACAGAGTGACTGTGGTAGGCACCACACGTGCTGCTGGAGAAAGGAAGTGAGAAATAGAATAAGGAAAGCTGATCTAGGAAGGGGATCTGCTACTTTAGTGTAGTTTATCTTACTACTGAAATAATCTTAGTGCTTACTTAAATTCCACTTTATTCTTATGAAATGTAGCTCTTTATAACTCAAAAATACATGAAGTTAACACTTTTCAAAGAATATTAACTTGTAGAGTTCTTTTCTGCTCCTACAGTTGCACATCTTAAAAAAAAAAAAAAAAAAAAGACAGCAAAAAAAACGCAAAACCAAAACTTAAAACCTGTAATTTTTAAAATAGGTCCCTGAATAATTCCTTTAGGTGCAGTAGGTGTGAATATGGTGCTTTTACTCACAGCTGGAGAACAGTTTTCTGTGGAAAAACAAGCATTAGGGAAAACACTCTCAAAAAAAGCTGACTCCTAAATGAAGTGACGTGATGGCCGTGGGTGCTGCAAAGCTACTTCTGCCCTGGGTTGCTGCCCGCCCTGTGAGCTCTGCCCCGGCGGGGCTCACGTTTTCAGTTGCCCTTCAGCCTGTCGGTGTGGCTCTTACATGTAACCTAGAGCAATGTGGGTGTTCTTGGGTTTGCCTTTTTTCCCCCAAATCGTAGTTGTAGATGGCAGGGTGTGTTGGGCGAGGAGGGGCGGCTCTCGCGGCTGAACACGATATAAACCCAAGTGTGAGGGAGGCTGCTCGTAAACCCATCAGGTGCGCAGGGGCTACGCAACCCAGAGCCTTGCAGAGAAAAGGTGAAATGCAACTCAAACCGCTTTTCTTTTGTTGTTGTTTTGTTCCTTTTTTAGCTGATAACATCTGACTTAGAGGTTAGGGGCCGTGCGGGGAAGCGGAGTGCTGAGAGCCAGCTCTCCCGCCGGAGCCGGGTGTGCGGCGGGGG